AGAGCGCGATCACAGGCTCTGGGGAATGTCGGCATGAGATTAGCTGAGCGGCTTCGATCATAGGGCACAACATCAGCTTGGGGTTTTCGCTCCGGTCTTACGTAGTCTCTTTATTCATATCTGGGCGTAGCTAAGATGAATATTCAGAGGAAAGATTCTGCTCGATTAGCTAGGTATTGGGTAGGTGATCCAGATCCCACACCTTGAACGCTCCCTATAACTTTTTGATCCAGATACATGTCTCATCAACGGACTACAGGAGGAGCTTATTCCGGACTTGATTCATTGAAAAGTGCCGAGTCTCTCTCGTGTACGGTTCTCGAAGCAAAGGTTCACCGCCCTCGATGCCCGAGTTGGGTGGAACCTTGCATTCGCTCCTCTGACAGATAAACCCGGAGTCTCTCTCTGCCTGTTTTTAACATGGGGAATCGATAAGGCTGGAAATAAACTACGGCATTTTTCGCCCATCGCAGACTTTTTGTGGGAATAGGGTCAAATTAACAAGTCTGTGAATTCGAATATGAATAAATTCATGAATGATCTATGAATTTCTCATGAATTCCAATAAGTATTCGACTATGATTTCCCGGCTCGATTCGTTCAGATTCGGCGTGAAAATATTGGTGGAACGAAAGTCAAGGGATCAGAATCAATTGTACGATGAGTTCATCGCTGGGGAGGCTATCTGAGCAGGCATCTCCTGGCGTGAAGCGGACTCCTGTTAGATTTTCTCTTATAATCAGTTTTAGGCTTTGATAATTAGAACGACATTCATCAGTTTCGTCATTGAGTGCTGTTGGCTGATCAGCTTTGAGTCTACCCCGAGGAGAAGGCTGGGATCATAGTCATGAAACGATTCATAACTACGGAGACCCCGCAATTCACAGATTTCCGGAGATTCACATCGTGAATATGAATTCATTGATATTCATATACATGAACATGAATTTGATCCTCTTTGCATGGGAGATCGTCTGGAAATACCGAGAAAACTTCACGACTTTCGGCGCGACCGCGCTGAATTCCCCATGGATTGGTGAGTAATGCAAACTCCGTGCCGATCGGAGACAGGTATTCGATGGCTCGTCGTCGATTTCACTATGAACGATAGGCCTCGAACGGCATACTCGGAGAGAGAGCAGGCCAGTGACCTGACGTCGAACGTGAGGAGGAGTATCACGGATAGCTGGGTCGCGGTCAGGAGGCAGCGCGCTAAGAGGGCCTTTAGATGCGGGCAAGAAAAACGGTGAGAAAGAGACAACGATCCTCTTTCCATCACGGAGACTCGCGCTCATTCTGCATGCTGGGTCAGGTTTTTACTTTCACTGAGTTTCTCCTCCGTAGAAATCGGCACTTCTGTGTAGCCGGGAATTTTGACACGGACCAGGTGCATGCGACTCAGAGCCTATCGGGCACGTCGAACTCAGGCCCTCGATCATGAACCCGATGAGATCCAGAATATCGACATCAGATCGCGGAAGCTCACGTGGAGATCAGGAAACTTCTCAACAGGTTCGACTTCTCCCGACACGAGCGGAAGAACCTTATCCCAGAATTGGGTGAAGTCCCACCGCGCGAGGAGTTTCTGCGAGTTTCCGAGTCCCCGGTCCCAGCAAAGGGCTCGAATCGAGGGTGGTTAAGGAGCGGGATGGGAACATCTTGGTCAGCTCACCTCGGCACGGTGGGGCTTGGCTGATTGATGTGCGGAAAATGACCGGCTAGAGCTAGAATACGTCCTCCGCACAAAAATCTCGCTAGTCACGCGTGCTGCTATCGTATCGCAAACGACGCTTCATTGTCGCACCCATAGTTTGTTCATATCGAGACTCTCCGGCCAAGATCCGTCGCCGGTTGTCCCATGCTGCTCGCTGGGAACTCCCAATCCGACAGAAGTCAAGCTAGAATTCTGGTGGGCGAAGGAGGTTTCTGATGCGAAAGTCGGCCATAGCAGGGCTGTTGCCAAATATTCACGATGAACGATGAGAGTGAGCGGAGCAATTCAGCTGTCGTTGTGACTCGTGACCTTGCAGGCTCTGGATCGACAAGCTCTGAACCGAAAGTCTTTCTCTGTCGATCTCCCCCCGAAGGTCCTTTGATATCCGCGAGATGTGGAAGGCTATGATCATCATACCAGATGAGCGGTCCAGTTTCGAGCTTGTTGAAGTTCCATTCCCCAAGCATCTTCGAATGAATTGCGTTTCGCTGACGAGTACGATGCCTTATCCCAGTCCACGAATCATGACTCCTGACCGGATCGTGAGTCAGTAAGGTGGTACAGGGATCTTGAGGAAATGAAGAAGGCTGATGAGGAAGGTGGAGGGGGGAAACTGCTTGGAAACGGATAGACGCTGCGTATTCGCTTACTCATTCCTCGAAATTCGGAACGAAAACTTCTTCATTAAGCCCGGGAGGAAAAGTGACTGTCTGACCATGTTGCTATTCATTCATGAATCCTCCGATTCTCGGGATCGATTAATCTGCCAGCTCCAGGGAGAGATGATAAATGGTGAGACAGGTGGATTCATACAGCTCCGGAGATCCCAGGAGTGCCCTCGTCGAACCGTCTCCGGTGGGAACCATACATCAAGGAGAAACAATGAATTCGGCGCGGCGGGAGGATCAATAAGGAGTTCACTGCTTCTTGTTAAGTCGGCGTTTTCCGTGGGAGTCATCCGTCGACGGAAGGCAACGTGTTTCCCGGCAGACTAGAACACCAGAAACACTGAATCATGAATCAGATATCTCACCAGGGTCCGAGTCAGAGACTCTCTATCACTGATGAACATCAATGGAGGAGCTCTCGGAGCCTGAAGCGTTCTGACAGTGGTACAGATGGGCTGCTCCCAAGAAGCGTACAGATCGAAACCGAGAACACAAGCTGGAATAGCTACCGCGTCCCACCATCCCGCTCAAGTGTCTTGAAGGACGGTCGTAGGCGCCCCATACTTCTTGGGAATCAGTGAACAATAACAAATTGGAGTAAACTATTACGTGATCTGACTTCGGTCCGACCCCATTGTTGCTCTGCTGGAGACAACTTTTCGGTGGATGATCCGACGCCCCGATGAGGGCAGCGCGATGATTCCCGATTTTCGCTTTTCGGCGGCTATGAAAGTCTTTTGTTTCGGGTCTGCGCTACCGCCGCGCCCCTCCAGTCGCCCCTACAATCGAGACGCAATGACAGCACACCAGGACGCGTAACTCCTGCGGTACCGACTGAGAAACAGATTTTTGCTGCAGCTTCTGTTCACTATCGTTCCCGAGGATTCTACAGCGGGTCAATCAGCGCTCATCTGATCTGCAGAATAATTGGCGACCCCCGTCGACCAGAATCTGAACTCATCAAGAAAACGTGGCGGATTAGCAGAAACAAATCTCCATCTTTTTATTGTCATAATCTTAGGCTTCTGTTGACGTCATCAGTGAACTTTACATGAAGATGGGATAATACTTTATTCTATGCTTACAATCGAGGATAGCAAAACTGCGTCTCGGTGGTCTCTCAACATTATATTAAGAATAATCTCTGAGATTTCGAGACTGAGTTTTTGGTTTTACCGACTGGAAGCTTGGGTCGATGTCTCAATCAAGGAGAAGAAGTACGAAGCAAAAGTACACGGAGGATGCTCGAGTCGTTCGCTTAAGGTAGAATTCACAAGATTGTCACGGTGAGGAGCGACAAGCCAGAAAGAATGTTGGGGAAATGGAACAAAACAGGCTGTTCCGATTAGACCGTGATGCGGGAACGACTCGACCATCTGAAGACGATACATAAGTATACAATCCGACTGCGAGAGCACCCGGACAACCTGCGCGGATAGCTGATCGGCTGATCATCGTTCCTTCTGCTCGAAGACAGAGTGAACAGACTGATGATTCAGCGCAAATTCACAAGCCAGCTGCTTCGCTCTCGACCACGTTCCAGGGAGAAGAAAAGCCTTATTTCGTTCTCCTTCATGAAGGTCCATAACGTGGGAATCATTTGCTCGTAGCACAATTATAAGATTTTCTCGTCGAATATTATGGAACAGCGAAGCGAGCTCGTCTCGTAGCAGCTATGGCGGCGGCAGTGGCAAGGGACTGAACTGCGGGTTGCTCTACACCCTTGTCAGACTCCGAGACTTGTTCGTGCGACTCTTAAGAAGCAGTAATTCCTTCTGCAACTCCATGATATTTCCTTTTTCCTGATTGCTGTACATACACTGGCAAGGGTAGCCGGAGCATCCAACAGGGAGCCGATTACCCTCTTGAAAGATTCCGTCATTCAACAAGGACGCCTCTAATCCTCGACTAGAAAAGATCCGGAGGGGGAATCCTCTTCTCATGACGCTGTGTCGGTATCTCACGTCATTGCCTGCGGTATTCATCGTTCGGATGGATAACTGAACAGATGAAAGAATTATTTAATGAATGAACGAACACAATTATATCGGGCCAGCGTCCTGAGTTCGTTTCTCCGTGATCATTCGTGCGCCTCGATTCCTGTGTTTTACAATTAATTATTGATGGTAGTTCTTCGTGATACCTAGTTGTGAAGGAGCAATCTACTCAAGGAACTGCGAAGCGGCTTGAAAGCCCGAAGTTGTTGGGTAGCTCGTTTTTTTTCTCCCTTGCATTGATCGGAGGCCTGCTCACAATAAACGCTCGCCGTGGGCGGATTTCCGATGCCGATATCTCGCAAAGCTGAGTAAATCGTCCGAACGGTCCGTATCTGCCGAAATTCGATCAAAGTACCTCAACTTTGATAGTCGTGCGCTCACCGGAGCATTACGGTGAAGCCGTTGTCCTACCTCCGGCAAACCGCTCCACGATTAGCAATTCTTCCAACATGAGTTCGGCCGAATGAAGGCATCAGAGAATAGCGTAAGGCTCCGACGACGCGACGTTGGCAGGCTGGAGAATCCGTCCTTCGGATTTCCCTGCCCGGCGAACGGCTCGTGTCTCCCTTCATTTGCGTCTTGCCGAGACTGAGAATGACCAACCGAGCCCGGCTCGAAGTCTTACACCGAAGCCGGTGGCTTATTCGCAGTATCCGACTCGTCTGTCGTCAATACGGTACAGGAGAAGCACGATCCTTTGAAGCCGCATTTGCCTCCGAGTATGCACGGGACGGCCAGGATGAGGAGCGGCGAGGCTAGAAGGACTAGGAAACCGAAACCAGCGAATATCCCAAGAACCTGCGTCCGATGCCACATGACCGAAGCCCTTGAATGACCTAATTTGTTCCTACACGGTCCCTGATCGTAGTGTCGCAGTAGGAAGTCGTCGTCCAACGATGCCAAACAGAACCAGCAGAATACGTGACGACAGTTTTTGCACAGCATCTGAGCGCAGCCATCTTCTCGCTCGATCAGGACACTGCAGTGTGGACATCGTTTGATGCCTGAAATTAGATGCAGAAGAAAAACGTTATTCTTAGCTCGTCACACGCGTTTTCAGTTTTTAGTCTTTCCCTGAAAGCAGCGGATCGTATCGACGTGTCAAAGGGCTCGTTCATATGCTCATCGTTCGAGAAAGTCCCAACCGGAGAACGACAGTTGAACATTGCACGGTTATTCTAAGGAATGTCGCTGAACTCCGCGTCTATGAGACGAAATTTTCATTCTCGAAGCTTTTCCATGGCCCCATCTGCTTGTTCAAGACGATGCCTGTTCTCGAGACATCGACTAGGCGAGCCGTCTCTATCAGATGGACAGATACGAGAAGTCGTGTTTGAATCGATGTATGAGTTTGAACATGTTTCATTGATGATAATAGCTCAGACAAAGCGTAGAATGTAGGAGGTAATCAATTCAGCCCGTGTTCCGTTGATTCGAGAGGCTGCGTCAGAAGGCCGATGAAGCCAGAGCTTTCCCGAGAAATGGACAGAGTCCGCGTTTCGTAATGATTTGGAAACAGCCTAATGAGGCGGAGACAAAGGAGTATCGAAAGCCCCACATCGTCCCACATTGGTGCGCAGCCTAGCTCGATAACATAACACTCCATGTTGGTGAGAAGGAGTTCGAGCTAAGGCCATTGTTCTTGGCCACCCACACGAGCCTGTGTGATCTAACTATAGAACTATTACCAAAGGCTCTGCCACCGGTCGACTCCGGAGTTCGTTGTCAACAACAAGCTCTCCGGATGGATACTGCTTCCGATGATCTCCTCCAGATCCTTCCCTTTATCCTAATCGGATCAACGGGTATGTACCTACTGACGTTATCAGCACATACCCGCTACTTTCCGGACTACTTTCATCCCGCCTTGCCCGCAAATTAACATGGAGCATCCGGGTGGACTTCCGTTCACGATTCTCGCCGTCATCTAGATTCTGCGCGCTTTCATGTGTTTTTCGCTTATCATCCCGGGACCGAATTCTGCACCCGTTTTCGGTCAGAATTATTTCTCGAAGAAAACATTCTCCCCACATCAGCCACAATGGAAGAGAACTCCGGGCGAGCCCGCCGCTTTCTGGAACAGTGTCCTTCCAGCTCCATTCGCTGGAATACCTCGACTGCGACCGAAAGACGAGATGCTATGTTCTAGTTCTCCCGAGCACAATTCTTTTCCAGGGCCGATCGACCGGCCGTTCCGTCGGCGGCGACTTACTTTCGCCAAACGCACGCAGACTGCCGTCTTCACGGATCTGCTCACCAGCCGTCTTCCTCTTTCGGTCAGTGTCATCGAAAACCCGGTTACGACAGAGTCATAGCACTGGTTCTGGGTCAATCCGGGGCCGATATCAGATGAGGCTTCGGCCACCGTCAGTGCATCCGCAGAAGAACGCTCTCTCCGACTCCGTGGTAGCGGGGGCCTTTACCACTCGAGAGCCCAAGCTTAACGTCCTGAGTGAGCTTCATTCTGAGAGCGCTGATGCCGAATCGGAAGGAAGAGGGCGCTATCGCCGTCGCCTCGATCTCCCCCGGAGTCCCCACCAGAACTCGGAGTGAATGTCGACGCGGAGGTCACGTAAAAAAGAAAATGAAGGTGCATATCAGCATCCTGACTTAAGATCCCACTTCTGTACGAAAGAGAGTGACGCAAGCCGACTAGAGATCCCGAACCAGCAAAAGCTAATCATAGCCGGAGGCTCCGACTCCGAAGTATGAGAGAGCGCTTCGTGCTTTTCGTGGGAGCTTTCTCGAGCGTCCGATTCTTGAAAAATCTGAAACCTCTGAAGTTTCTCATACGCCATAGGACTTCTGAAAACCGGTCGAATCCCAGATACGCTTTCCGCCGAAACGGGGCGGAACTGACTGCGCTCAGGAGGTCGCGCGAAAGAAGAATGAAGCATCTAAGCGGCAGCGATCCGTGGTTGGATATTCGCCTGGAATGAGTTCCATTCTCGCGACATCGGCATCGAGAAGAAGTAAACGCTGGGAAATCATATTTCCCTGCGGTCGGTCGATCGCTTTCTGGACGGGAAGGGATCCTGACTTCCATCCGTCTCCGCCGAAGCGGGAAGCATCGGAAAAAGTTCTGTTCCAAGCGGGCAAATTTTCTTATCGACCGATCATACACCAGAACCTCCGCGCGCTCTGGTGGTCGAGTCGTAAAGTAGCTCATCAGGGGCCGATTGAGAGACGGCGGAGCGTGTCCATTCGTGAAAATCGTGCGGAGCAGATTGCTGTGACGGGAATTCGCGAATCATGCAATGGTCTCGCGGTCTGTTCTACGTGGAAGGTCAATGTTTCTCCTCCGGAAAAGCGACGGTTACTGCAATATTTGCATCCGAAATTCAAGGGAATCTCGGCATCATCTGGGAACGCATCTCGTGGCTATCATAACAAAAATGCTTGCACCCGTAGCGTCTGCGGATGGCGCACTGGGACGCCCGCGTCTTCCGGCACAGAAGATGTGCTCCAGAAATCTCGCTATGCCCTGAAGATCGTGTGAAGGGCAACTAGTCGACGCTGGTCGGAACAATACGGAGCGAACTTGCGCCCGGAGACGCCAAGAGACCCAATTTGGTCGCTTATCATCAAGGACTCGATTTGCGGCCGGACTAGGAAGCGTTCCTGGCCGTCAACGACAGCGGAGGGCGATTCACGTTTCATATTTTGAGGAGCTTGTCACGACAGCGCCGGATGTCGCCCCCAAGAATCTCGCATACAATGTCAAACGCACAGCGGCAAGAAAAACACTGACCATAGAGCGGCTCCTGGAGGCCGCTTACATAAAGCGACGTATGGCGTGACGTGGTTTTTATCTCCACGGCTCGATAAGAACGAGATATCAAGATTCTTCCCGAGTGCTCCGTATGATCGTGAACCTAATGTAGAGGCCAAGTGTTTATGCGAGTGGTTCAATGCATCGCGATTACTGGCTTGAGATGCCCATGATCGACATGTGACGAATCGCCTCTCGGTTTGAGTGGAAGCCGAAATCGACCGTGAACTATCAGGCTAGGTTGACTGCCGACAGAACGTATCTACGAATATCTAGGCATGTTCTCGTAACAGCTATGCGGTCATCCCTACAGGACCGTCTTGCTCCGGTCCTTCGAGAACGCTTCCGACTTCTGGGCATGGAGAAAGCTGGGTTTGTCGACTTCCAGGATTCATTCTGATTGGAATTCCTTGTTTGGTCCTCAGAATGAAATCACGAGCATATAAGCCGATCTCTGGACGCTGTTCGTCTTTAAGACATCTGTTCGACATACTTTCGACCGGCGGAATGTGGGTCTCATCCAGAGTGTGTTCCAAGGGACAGTCGCTAATGTTTCTGTTGTGTTCTATCGGAGTTACGTGGCTTTCTCCCGGCGTACGTGATAATTGTCACAAGTCCCCCGTTCTCGAGCCACAGCGATAGCAGGGGACGAACCATTCTGGCGGAACCACGAGCGCTTCCACCTGCAAACACTTGTGGTGCCAGGAGAACGGAAAACGGAGCAATCATAGATTTGCTCGGTCAGAATATCCAGCGCATTCGATTTCGCTTCCTCTCCCCTCCCCATGTATTCACGCGAGTATCACATGGCAGCTGGCACAGGGAAAATCGAAAAGGTAGCGGGAGTTTCAGCGATTGTTCAAAGATACGGTCAAATCTCTGGGCTCAAAGGCTTCCCCGTGACTCGTTATAACACAAGCAGTGGCATTATTACAATGTAGGTGAATCTGGCATTTTCTGCTCCTGTTTTCGCTCCAGAGATCCTCGCCTTGCGTTCAGGAAATCCTGCCCTGCGACTCTTGCATAAGCTCTTCGCCCAGTCACCGTCGCCCTTTCCGGCGACCGTTATATGACTCAGACGTTGCGCGCGTTATTTTGGGATGTTGATTTCGTTTCCATTCGGGTTGGAATGGAGGCACTAACAATATCACCAAGGGTCCAGATACAAGCCCAGCCGTCTTGCCGGAAACAAGCAGTGTATACTATGGAAGGGTAAGCGGACGGAGCCACAATGCTTCGGAAAACGCAGATGATCCGGCAGCAATCGCGAATAGAAAAAGTTTGCCTCTCCTCGGAGACTGCGGGACCCCGTGCGAGCATTGGCCGCATTTCCAGTCTCACGCTAGTGTTCGTCACATGGGCCACACCGATGAAGATTGGGTGCATATTACATGATTCGGGTTGATTATTAGGACAAGAAGAGTCGGAATCCTCGAAGTACTTCTTAGGGAAGGAAGATAGAAATAGATCACCGCATTGCATAGGGAGCGAGAACAGGGAAAAAATCGCGGTATGATTTGGGCCGATGAGCTCGAACATTCTGCTCAGACAGTAATTGGTCTCGAATTCATGTTTCTGTAAGCCGACACCGCGCGATCGATACTGGTATAACAGATCGCCCGGCGAGCGGCGCGTGTGGGGGCCCGTGAGAGGAAATGAATCAAGTGGTTTTCCAATGGAATTCGCCGGATCTTCGTTTTCTCCCATTCTTGCTCGGTCCATTGAAATGAGTCTCATCGGTCGTCATCAGCATTGGGTCTCCGGAAAAGCATCGATTACGGCCATTGCACGAGGAGAATATTGAATGAAATGAAACGGAGTCACGTCCCAAGGAATCAGCCGGATATGGGGTTTGGACTAGCGACGTTTCGCTCGAGACAGCCCTAGCGACGGTTTATTCGGATCGGTGTTCAACGTTCGAATCAGTGGAGTCAGCCGACAACACGGTCGGTCCGGATATCCGCTGACAGCCGCGACTTTACTTTCAATCTACGTATCCTCGCAAAACGTGAACAATCGGCCGCCGAAGCGGCGATCGAATGGCAAAATGTTGTTTGAGGAACATACCTGTTAGGTCTTGCAGCACATTCTGGAGGACGGTTGTTTCATCACAGTCTTTGAGGGGATGCCAGGTGTCTTGACAGACGGCGCAGAACGTATATTCACATTTTGAACATTGGAGTCCGTAAGGATCCGTAGCTGGCTCCGGGAGTTGGCATATATTCCCGCAGGCTGGACCTGGGCAGAACATACGCAGAGGATCGCGGGCAACTTGCTGGTTCAGCGATAGGATGGCCCATCGCTCGACGAGTTGGGGTTGGTCTTTGAGGAGACGACGAACGTGCGACTCTCGAAGATTCATATCACAGTTTGCGTGCGGGCACGGAATCGTGGCACGGCCGTCTTGAACATTGACGGCGACGTGTTGTTGTAGACACTCTATGCAAAACGAATGCGCGCAGGGCTCTAGTCGCATGCATTGTTTCAAACTGACGACACAGAGGCAGAGCTGGCACAGATTGGCGACGGCCATATCCGACATGGGAACGTCATTTGCTGACAACGATCGCACAACATATTCCTGCGAGCGAATGTCCTTTTTCGAAGTAGACACAAACGTTTGACTTTTTGGCAGGACTCGACCGAACTTCTGTTTGTTCGATGCGCTTCTGAACAGCCATCCGAATGGGAGACAACCCCATCTCGATCGGCTGTCCTCCGGGGCCCACTGACTGGCTGCAGGCCCACTGTTCGACATTCCCTTGTTCATGGTCAGACTTCGGAGAAACTGGAGCGCGTAATCATCACGATGTCGCGAACAGCATCACCAACAGCACAGGATTTCCGAGGAATCTGCAAAATTTTCAGATAGACGCTTGATGATCAATTTTAAGTCCGTCAGAATTTTATCCGATGGCCTGTCGAAAATTCCACTATGAGCGGCAGACGGTACGCTTGAACGGTCGACCAACAGAGAGAGCAGGCTAGCGACCGAGCGGCGAACGTCTGGTGGAGTATCACAGATTGCCGGCTTTCGATCAGGAGGCAGCGCGCGCCAAAGGGCCCCGTTAGACGCGGGCGAGAGGAATGACGAGAAAGAGACTTGCGGGCCACTTTCCACTTTGAAGACTTTGGCTGATGCCACACGCTAGGTCAAAAGTTCACACTTACGGGATTCCTCCTCCGTAGGAATCGCCACCGTCGGTCAGTCAGATAATAGTTTGACAAGAGATCACGTCATCATCAAATGGTGCGGCAGCTCTTTGAAGGCACTCCCGAGTTTTTGCTTAGACTCCCAAATCGGGGCGGTGTGTACCAAGGCCAGAGCAATCATCGGAAGCATAGTGTCCCCGTGCATCGACTGACGTCTGAAATCCCTGGTCTTACGCCGAAATCAGGCCGAAACCCAGCCTTCTCCCTCGGCTGTTTTCCGTTTTGTGGATCGAATTTCTCGTCGATACGGCACCGCTGAGGGCCTGTGTGGGCTCTTGGAACAGCCGGGGCCGGCGGCTGGCAGCCAGCATGCAGACTCGTGCAGCGAAGAGACTGAGGGAGTGTATCGAGGATAGCCCCACGGAGGCTCATGTTTCCGGGGACCCCCAGAAGTTGAATGGTGAGAACGAAGAGGACTCTGGGGCTGAGTGGATTGAGGTTCGGAGCAGGGAGACGGCGAAGAGGATCGCGGGGGCTCGACGTGAGCTGGATGCTCTCCGAAGTCGCATCAGCAAGAACCGGGAAGGTTGTTTTCTGTGTTGGTTTTCTCCCGAGTGGAGAAGAGATGTGGTGACGACGGTGTGTGGTACGACCAGCCAGTCCCGATGTGCAACGGAATCCTTCCAATCTGTGAGGAGATTTGTAAGCTATGCCCCTTCGCGAAACCGACTTCACGAGATGGAAGTATAAAAGCATGGGCCAAAACGACGGAGGAGGCCGAACAGCTGCTCAAGATCAAGACTCTTGGTGGCGAGCCGGTCAGGGCAGTCTGTCGAGGCCTGAGCCAGATATGGGCGAGGATAACCCGCGTTGACCGGGGCTTCTCCGATGCTGATATACTCCTCGCACTGACAGGTTCGGGGGTGGTCGAAGTACGACGCGAGACAACCAAAACAAGGAGCGCAGGCACCCTCGAGTCGTTCCCCACCGATCGGGGTACTGCTCAGGTTCTTGAAAGTGCCACCCGCGGAGGTACAATTGGCCTGGACGCTCGTACAGAGTCATCCTGCACGCTGGGAGGCCCTTGGCCTGTTTCAAATGCCAGAAACTGGGGCACATTGCGAGCAACTGCAAGAACGAGGCGGTTTGCAGACGGTGCGGAAAACAGGAGCATATGGCAGCTCAATGTACGAATACGGCCCGATGTGTAAATTGTAAGGGGCCCCATCCCTCAAATTCCCCATCATGTCCATCGAGAGCATGTGCGATGGAGAGAAGGAAGGCCCTTCTAGAAAATCAGGTCATCCAACAGCTGAGATCGTCCCATCCAAAAGCGAACATCGACACCATCATCGAGGTAACTGACCCGCCCACGGTTCCACCCAGAAAGCCACAAGAGGCGCTCGGCGACTCGAGCCTCAAGTCCTATGCGTCGATTGTGGCCGCCCGAGCGGTAGTTGTGGACTCCGGAGAAGGGGAAAAGTTCAGTGTCAACTTGCCGTTACCGACATCCATCCCGAAACGAAAGAAGACGAGCTGCAGACCCAAGAAGCGGGCGGCCACTCACCGAAGAGTCATCACGAAGCCCACCTCCAAGAAAGGATTGCGAAGGGGCACGAATATAACGAGAGGCTCAACACAGAAGATGAGCTCAATCGGAAATCTTACACCACTAATTGCGGTCATCAAGGTTCTGTGTCCCCAGGCGGCTGAACAGCTCACGCAGCTATGGAACACTCTGCAGCCACTCATCTCGGTTGTCTGTGGCTCGTTGGGCCCTAAGGCGGAGCGCTCGAACGTAAAGAACTCATCATGATTCCCACGAATAATAAGACTCGCTCGGACTCAATGTTCATAAACTGTGATATAAATAGCTCTCTGGTATTTCCCTCTATCGACAACGTTCGGGACTGCGTCGGAGTCGACAACATCTCAAAGTCATTTAGTAGTTTTGCAGTTCTACATCTCAATGCTGGGTCGGGAGGTCTCCGAAAATCTGGGCAGTTGGAGCTGATAGCCGATCTTCTCCACGGCGAGGGAGCCGATCTCGACGTTCTAGTGGTTAGTGAAACCTGGCTCAAGGAGCACGAGGTCCAAAGCTATGCAATTCCTGATTTCTCTCTTTTTACAGTCTGCAGGGGTGGGTCGTCGCGGGGCGGCGGCGTTGGGATTTTCGTTCGCTCATCATGTACCGTCCTCTCAATCGTGTCTCGGTCCAGTTCGGATGGTCGGATTCAGGTGCTCAGTCTCCGGATCAAAAAGCTGGCGAACGAGTTCTGTGTTATTGGCCTTTACTCCGCTAGCTTCCTTCTCGCGAGAGAGCTCCTTTCGGAGCTCGACGAAATTGTTGGGAGTAATTCAAGTCTTCCCTGTATCATAACCGGTGACTCTAATATCGATCTGCTCTCGGCTTCTCGGTGTTCCGAATACCTCGAGTACCTAGGTTCTCATGGCTTTCAGCAATTGGTGAATATTGCTACCAGGCCGGCCTCGGGCTCCTGTATTGACCACATTGCGGTCAGGGGTTGCGAGAACTTCTTGGAGGTTGCTCCTTTCGTCTGGAGCACCCCAGTCTTCTCTGATCACTTTCCGGTGTTTGTCAGACTATCCGGTCTTCCGCTCCGTGATGCTCCCCAGACTCCTCTCCCCACGCAGAGGCTGATCAGATCCCATGATCCAAGCAACGTTCAAGTATTTATTGATAGGATTGCGGGGCTGGACTGGGTTGATGTCAATGGCTGCGTCGACACCGATGCTGCTCTTGATACTTTCCGCCGTTTGCTGATTAGCAATTACGAAAAATGTTTCCCGCTGTCTCCCCCCCTCCTCCCGGTAGAAGATACAGGGGCTTCTCCTTCAGTGAAGGTCTTCGCAAGCTTCGCTCAAATGTCAACAAGCTGTTCAAATGGTATCGTAAATTTCCCTCCGATGTGTCGAAGACCGCCTACCATAAGGGCCTGAGCAGATTCAGACGGTGCTTGTTCAAAGTCCGTAAGGCTTTCTTCCTGTCAAGGTTCGCCAAGTTCGGCAAAAACTCCGTTGAGATGTGGAGGCTTATCAATGGTACATGCGGCCGCAAACAGGATTGTATACAGCTCCCAGCTCGCCTTCGTGTCGAGGATGTCGTCATCGAGCGGCCTCAGGAAACTGCCGAGGCGTTAAATTCTCACTTCGCCACGGTTGGCGCGAAGACAGTCGCTTCATTCAGGCTGTTCGATAATTTTCCGTCTGTCTTGGACGAGCTCTGGAGCCCGCCCCCGACGGTAGCTTTTGATATTGGCCCGGTCGATAAGTTCGAGGTCCTGTCCGCCATTGAGTCCTCCAAAAGGGGTTGGCGGTCTGGATTCGCTGGCATTCCGGACTGCCATCCTCTCGATGGTAGCCTCTGAGATCGCCGTCCCTCTGGCCGCAATCTTCAACCGCTCCATCAAATCGGGCCGTTTCCCAAGGGCCCTGAAGGATTCTTTCGTTGTTCCACTTTTCAAACGCAAGGGCGCGCGCGATATCCTCGCTAACTACAGACCAATCTCCCTCGTCGACTTCCTCTCCAAGGTGTTCGAACGGATTGTGAAAAACAGACTCGAGGCGTTCATAGAGCAATCTGGTTTCTTCGTCCCGAGTCAATTCGGCTTTCGGAAAGCTCGGAGCACTGAGCTCGCCCTGGCAGGACTCACTGGTAGAGTCCTCCAGGTTGTTGATGAGGGCGACCTCTCGCTCGGAATGTTCCTTGACATAGCGGCGGCTTTCAATTGCATGAACATCTCGGTTTTCATTCTCATGCTCCGTAATCTCGGTTGCTCTGAATCCACTTGCAGATGGTTCCACTCCTATCTATCAGATCGTAGACAATGTGTTCAAGTAGGTGATATCAAATCAGCGTGGTTGTCGCTCGATATTGGTGCCCCGCAAGGCTCGATCATTGGTCCATTCATGTTTATTATATACATAAACTACGCCCTTCTC